GGGTTTTTTTTTCCCCTTAAACAGATTTCCAAGTCAAGATACCTTCCAGGTAAAGATCTCTGTGGCTGCCTGATGCCAGACACAGAGCCCATTCCTCTGCAGAGGAGGAAAGAGAAGCTTTTAGTGTCCAAAGATGCAACTGATGCAGTGAGATTTGCAAAGGGCAAAGGCCAGTGGGCCTCCACCCCCTGCCCCTGTGTCCAGACAGCCAAGGGTCATTCATGACGTACTGTCTTGTTTGGCCCGGGCAGGAGCATGGTCAGAGTTCTTCATATGATTCCCTGCTTTAATTTAATTACGTGCATTGTTGGGTCTGCACATGAGTTGGGTCTAATTGCTGTTTAACTGCCTGCAACGTGGTACTGCAACTCGGCGTCGAGTACGCTGTCCCGTGGCACTGATCGGCATGGAACCCAGAGCCGGGAGGTTCCTCTGCTATCACTTGAGACACAGTTGCCCTGACATTTTTCTTGAAAAGCAGAGACTAGTTTTTGCTTTTTGGTTGTTTGTTTATTTGTCTTGTTTTTCGGAGACCTAAGCATGGAAGTCAGCTTCTAGGAGATGAAGTTTTGGTAATAGGGGGAAAACATGGGCATTGATGACTCCAAATGATTCCAATGAGGAGGCCTCTAAAGGTGTAGGTTTTTAGGACTCACGTGACCTATTTCTTTCACTTGAGTCTCCTCTGAGTGTCCGGCCGAGAGGGAGAAGCCAGTATGCACGTGTGTCATGTCAACTGCTGAGATAGGAGTGAATCACAGGGTACACTTGGTCAGCGGGCCTGCGTTGCTGTGGGAGGCCTGGGCTACCCTCTGTAGAGGGGACAGCACCCCCATTATAGACCTCGCGAGTAAACACAAGACAGGAGGGCAGGAGAGAAGGAGCGTGGGGAGAGAGAGAAGTGCACACCGAGAGGTGCGTGTCCAGGCCGGAGCCATAGGACAGCAGGGAGGGCTCTTGCCTTGCATGTGGCCAACCGAAGTTCAATCCCCATCATCTCATATGAGTTCCCTGGCCACCGCCATGTGCAGTTCTTGACTACAGAGCCAGGAGTAACCCCTGAACCTTTCCGGGTGTGACCCCCGCAAACGAAACAAACAGAAAAAAAGAAAGGTGCATGTCCAGGGCCGGGAGTGATAGTACAGCAGGTAGGGCATTTGCCTTGCACGCGCCGACCTGGGTTTGATTCCCAGCATTCCATATGGTCCCCCAAGCACCACCAGGAGTAATTCATGAATGCAGAGCCAGAAGTAACCCCTGAGCATCGCTGGGTGTGACCCAAAAAGAAAAAAAAAAAAAGGTGCATGTCCAGCTCCTCAGTGTGCACCCTGGAGCTTGGCTTCCCTACCTGGGTAGGCTCAGAACCCTGAAGAATCCAGGTGAGAACAAGCCCTTTCTCGAGGCCCCCAGGGCCTGGGCCCAGTGCTGACAGCCATGGCCGGGGAAAACAGAGTCCACCTTTGGATATGACAACAGTTGCGTCCTGGACGCCTGCCTGGTACCTCTCGGGCTCTCTCCTCTCCTCACAGCACTCCTGACCGTTACCCTTGGGGCAGGTACTCTTCCAAAAGACACCTGGCTGCCACAAACAGCAAAGTAGGGGAACAAAGTCACCAACATCCCCTTTGATTCAGTAGGTTTTTGCTTGGGAATCAGGAGACAGATGCAAAGTGGGAAACAGCTCCATCTCTAACTCTCAGGATCATGGATCATCAGTCCATGTCAGCGGGACCTTGCTTGGTGGGCAGGAAAAAATCATCCCAACGTCGGGCTGAGAGGTGGGGAGAAATGTGCGTGTAGCCCCTGAGAAGACGATAGAATGTGGACACCCTGTCATCACAAAGACGTAAAGGTCCTTGTAACGCGGGCAAGGCTTGGAGGAGAAGAAGACAAAAATAAACCAGGTTTTGGGGCTGGAGTGATAGCACAGCAGGGAGAGTGTTTGCCTTGCACGGGGCCAACCTGGGTTCGATTCCCAGCATCCCATATGGTTCCACCAAGCACCACCAGGAGTAATTCTTGAGTGCAGAGCCAGGAGTAACCCTGAGCATCACCGGGTGTGACCCCCCAAAAAATTTTTTTTAATTTTAAATAATAATAATAAACCAGGTTTTGTCACAGGTGACGGTGCGTCGCCATCACCACCTCCTTTTTCTTTAGGCTAAAAAGGAAAAAAGACTTGATTTTTTTCCCCCCTCTTAACTATTGCAGCTGCAATAACTATTAAAGAGTCTGGAGACAAGAAATGGTTTTCAGAAGGCACCAAGAGCCACCCGCTTACGCAACTGCTGAGCTGAGTGGCGTCGCCATGTTAAGGACCCGCTCCCGTGTGTCCCCTCTCCCCACATGGAACTTGTTAGTGTGTTTGTGCCGAGCAAAACCTACCATAGATCCCAGGAGGTGCCGGGGCTTCGTAAGCAGCCATTGACGGCAGTGAAAAAGAGGTGTTTGTCCAAACTTGCGTGCGTATAAAACCTGGAACTGCCGTGATGTCAGAACAAATGTGTTCTAAATATTTTCAAAATACAAAACTGTGGCAACCCTCACAATACTTGGCGATGAAGCTGCATTTCTCTGATGGGCCACAGTTGCACCTTGAAAAATTGTCGGGCTTACAAAAAAGCCCACCGACTACCTGAGGAATAAGCCCTGCTTTGGGCCCACCTGCGTCCACAGCCACTTCTGTAGGACTCGTCTTTCCCTGCTTGCAGCTGTCCTTGATTTTGATTGCAGGACAAAAGGGCCTGGCATCAGAACTGCCTGGTTAAAATTCAAGAAAAAAAAAAAAATTCTGTTTTAGGGACGAGCCTGTGCATTCAGGTTCTTGCCAGGGGTATTTCTCCTCACCCTCTCAGCATGCCCTGCCTGGCTTTTTCTGGGCACAAGCTCATTGGTTGGTGGTTCAGTTTTGAAATGCAAATGCAAATCACAGGGTCAATGGCATGATTGAACATAGGAGCTGGAAAAAGTTGCCAAGAGGTGGGTCAGCATTATGAATTTGAGTTTTTCTTCTGCCTCTGGGCTCAGCTGTCCAGGACACACTCGTAAGTGGCCTCTTTTTTTCCCCCCCTTTCTGGAACTCTGCACTCTTCCTGCCGCCTTTCATTATTACACCAGGCAAGGTTCCACTAGATGAGACGTTTGCCGTCTTAAGACTTCCTGCCAGGGTGCAGACTTTGTATTTTTTGACAGTGACGCTGTCGTGTTCCTGACGCGGCTTAATTAGAAACACATCCACTTCAGCATGCGCTGGGAGAGGCTTGGCCGGCGGAACCAGGCACGCTGGGAAGTCGGGGCACCGGCGTGGCTTGCAGAGAAACCTCTGGTTTACGGTTTAAGGTGGGGGGGGGAACATCGCAGAGCACTCCCTTGCCCCCGGACGCGAAGGGAAGCTGAATGCACACAGCAGATCGCCTGCCTTCAAAAGGCGACAGGAAGAAAGCCGAGCAAAGACGACTCCACTCTCACTGCAGTGCTGTGTTTCTCTCTTTGGCTATTATCAAATACCAAAGTCTTCTGGAAGAATCGTTCGCGGGCTGCGCTGCTAATATTCCAGCCTGCGTTCTGGGCTCCCGAGCTGCTGCTGAGATCTGTAGTAAGGACGCCGTTTCATATTCCGGGGAGAGATTTTCGCTGGAAGAGTTGTATTTGTTGAATGGTAATGAGGGAACTGTGCCCCCTTTTCTTATTTTTAAATGTTTGAGCAAATTTTTTTTTTAACGCGCAGCTGATGTTTTAAAATCTCCGAGGCCTCTCCAGAGATCTCAGATGAAAGTCGCCGCCTCGCCTGCTTCCATTCTTACCGAGCTTGTTTCCTTACCCGTCCCCGCCCCTGTGCCCAGGAATGCCATCCTCCTAGGCCCATGTCCGTTCCCCCAGCACCCCACAACCCAGCTCTCTGGGCACCCTGGTCAGATAGGCAATAAAAGAAGGTGAGGCTTGGAGTTCATGCCCAATTCAATCAGCTTAATCAGTGGCTGAATAAATAGCAGTACTCCGACGTTTTAAAAAAAAAAAAGTGATGCTCCCTCCAGATTCCATGCTGGAGAGATGCGTGGAAAAGTCACCAGTTGCTTCCTTCCCCCCCGACTCCGTGGTCCTCCCTCATCTGCCCTCCCCTAAAGCCTGCCCCAAGGGAAGTAGGCCTGGAGCTTTCAGGTTCGGTTATTACCAAGCTAGTGGGTCCCAAAGGAAGACTCGAGACTTAGGTGTCCCCAAGTGAACAGGCTTGCCAGTTCACTTGGTTGGGTGACACCTTTTCTCCTCCTCTGTGACAAAGGGGCTAATGCCTGCCAGCTGCGTGGGTGTGGGCGCTTGAGAAGATGAGTTTCAGGGTCCTCATAGAGAGCCGCACACACACTCACACTCCTGAAGCCAGGGGAGATGGATGTAGGATGCCCAGGTCCTTGACCTCCTGGGCGTTGGGGGTTCCTGTCCTGCCCATCGCCTGCCGTGGCCAAGGAAAGAGTAGGAGGGGGCTTTGCATGTTGCCATGCCGTGGGCGGGCATGGGAGAGGAGAAGAGGTGTGTGGGCAGCTCTGCACACTCAGTCTTGTCACCAAGGAGGTCTGGGTACATCTTCCTCGCCAAAGGAAAGAGAGAGTCAAAAATCATTCACTCCATCCGCACGTGCCAGCTGCTTCTTCTGTTTGGATAGGACAGCAGTGATAGCCCCTCAAAGCCTCTTTCTCTCCTTCTGATGGCAGCTGCGGGTGGGGGTGGCAATGGGGGGGAGGGGTCCCTGGGCTTGCAACAGAGCTTAAGATGTCGAGGCGGCCCCGCCCCCACGCTGCCTCCCATGCTACTGCCCGCAGTTTGAAATTCCTTGGAAGTTTCAAGGCTTGGGAACAAAATGTCATATTCGGATATTTTTCTGTTGTGAAAGGAAGTGTAACCGTGCATACGTTTATTAAAACAGCTTTTCTCCAAATAGTGAGCCATCTGCAGCTATCCGCCGGAAGCCCAGACACTAACGCAGCCGTGTCTCTTTCTCTCCACAGCGCTCCTATGCCCTACCTCATCGGGATCCACCTCAGCCTCATGGAGGTAAGTCGGCTCCTTCCCTCCCAGTCTCTCGCACTCTGGGCCGACTGGGCTCTGTGCAAGGAGGTGGCAGAGTCTTGGGTACACCTACAGGAGAATGGGGGCCCCCTCCTCATGTCCTCCTAGTGGCCCCTGTTTCCACGGGCTTCTCCACCCTGACTTAGGGTCTGCCATCTTCATGCTTAAGGGGTTGAAGTTCAGAAAGACAGAGGATAGGCACTTGCCTTGCATGCAGCCAACCCAGGTTCAATCCCCGGCATCTTCTATGGTTTCCCACGCCCACCAGGAGCCATTCCTGAATGCAGAGAAAGGAGTAAGGCCTGAGTACCACTGCATGTGACTCAAAAAAAGAAAAAAGAGAGAGAGGGAGAGGAAAGGATTTGAATGAGGGCAGGAAAATGATTCATTTTTTCTAGCTGTGTTCACACCAAATTATGCAAATGCTGTTATTTCTTATGACTGAAGATATTAAAACTGCGTAGATGTATTAGAAGTATAAATAAAATAGAAATAACAAACCATACCTTTAGTTCCGATTTGATCACCATTTGGCATTTTCCTCTCTCCCAGTCTTTAGTTATAAGCAAATGTACACTACTTATATGTCTGTGTATGTGACGCACTTAGGATTATGGCATGGAGATTTTTTTTTATTAGTGAAACACCATGAGGTACAGTTATAGACTTATAAATTTTTGTGCTTGGGTTTCAGTTATACAATGATCAAGTATCCATCCTTCCACCAGTGCCCATCTTCCACCATGGGTCCCAGCATATCTCCCACCCCCCATCCTCTCCATCCCACCCTGCCTCTGTGGCAGGGCATTCCTCCTTGTTCTCTCTCTCTTCGTTTGGGTACTTTGTTTTGCAAGAGAGGCATTGAGTGGCAATCATGTTTGGTCTATAGTCTACTTTCAGCATGCTTCTCCCACCCTGGGAGGATCCTCACAACACCCTTTATTTGGTGCTCTCTTCTCTATCTGAGCTTCCTTTTCCCCTAGCACATGTGGCTGGCCTCCAAGTCAAGGAGCAAAATTCCTGGTACTAATCTCAGCCATTCCTGGGTGTTAGTCTCCCTTTTTGTTGCTTTATGTTCCCCAGATGAATGCAATCTTTCTGTGTCTATCCCGCTCTTTCTGACTCATTTCGCTTAACATGATACTTTGCGTGTAGTACCACTTGTATGTAAATTTCAGAACTTCATCTTTTCTAACAGCTACATAGTACTCCATTGTGTAAATGTACCAAAGTTTCTTTAACCAGTCATCTGTTCTTGGGCACTCAGGTTTTTTCCAGATTCTGGCTATTGTAAAGAGTGCTGCAATGAACAAACAAGTGCAGATGGCATGGGGATTTTTACATGCTTTTTTTCCTTTTCAAATCACTCTCAGGAATTCCCCCCCACCCTAACTTTATCTACAAAGTTGTTCATGATGCATTATTACAGGCATTCAATATTCCAAGCACAGTCACACCACCCCAGTCACCTTCCCCTACCACCGCCACCATTGTCTCCATTTTCAGGAATTATTTTTGTAATGTGCGACCCGTCAGCCCACTATTTGGATAGACCACAACTTAACTACTGTTATTGGCACTTGAGTTGTTGATGTGACTAGCCCTTTAGCGGCCGTCTGCCCTGTTTGCTGAGCCGAGATCGATGGTACCCCTGGGGTCAAAGTGCGCCATCAGAGCTGCAAGTCCGCTGCCCCCTTGCTTCCCGCATGCTCCCCAGAGACTCTTCTGAGCACCGTGGTACAAGCCATTGGTTCGTAGAGGTGAACCCAGGGAAAGGGCTCGGATTTGTCCCAGAGTCAAGTCGGGTGGGAGGTGCCGGCCCTGCCTGCCTTGCAGGGGAGAGAAGCGCTTGGGCTGGGGGCCGAGGGGATCGGCAGCCATGTCCGTCTGTGAGGATGCTTTGCATTTCTCAGAGGAAGTGCTACTTCTCTTCTTCTGTTCCCTTCATTTCCCGTCGACGAGGACCACCTGCTTCCTCACGAACTGTTGCATGCTGTGCTATTGTGCTTACGAAAATGAAACAAGTTGGTTATCGAAAAACCTGTTTGTTTGACATTGAGAATCTTGATCAAAATAGACCACAGAAATCTGCTCAAATTTCTAATTTGACAGGACGGCCATGTGGCTCCTGCATTCTGTTAACAGTTCCTCCTTGTCATCACCCAGCCCTGAGCACAGACAGTACACAGTTTATGGACTATCTTGGATGGTGTATTTTGATCAGATGGAAAAGATTTCTTCTGTGTTTTACCTTTGTTTGTCAAGTTTGGGGTATGTATTCCGGGCTCCTCAACGGGGGGAAAAAGAAATCAGAATGAGAAAGTGGGTCCTCCTAACAAAGCTGTCGTTGGGAGGGCTGGACACACCCATCCGAGGACGCCTGTCTCACGGACGGCTACTCCTTTCCACTCACCGTTAGCCCCAGGTGCTCAGCGTGACTTCCCGGGGCTCAGCCCCAGCTCAGCACCTTCACAGCCTGCTTTCCCTCTATATTGTCCAGTTTCTGTCTGGGCTGCCTTTTCTTCTCCACGCGCCTTCCCGTCCTCTTCCTCTGGGCTGCTGGCCGAAGGCCGCTCCCGGGCCCGTGTAAGATCTGGGATGCCCAGAGTCTCGGCTGGGCTTCCGGTATGGGGATCCCAGCACTGGCCAGCCTCTCTCTGAGCATCCAGGCCGGAGTTTCTCGGGCCAGTTGGTCTTATCCGAGAGGGGCCTCTCTGCAGGGGTCCCCCACGCAGTCTGCCCTGCCACACCCTCCCAGGCACGCCCACTGAGCTGTGCCACTTCCGGCGTTCCTGAGCCCCAGGAAGTCACGCTGAGCCCTCTGCCTCAACCTTCCCTGCTCACTGCTCACCCCACTGGACCGCGCCTGCTGCTTCCTCCCTTCCGACATTGGCGCTGTTCAAGGCTCCCTTCTAGGCTTCTTCACTTGTGTGATGAGCAAAATGGAGAACTCGCTGGCCCGGGTACCCCGCAGGGCAGGATGAGGGATCCAAGATTCCGTCCATCCGTGACCGCCACCCCCCTCCCCAGAGAGCAGGTTCATGTCTCCCTTGGCCACTCCCAAGCACCCTCCACCCTGCCCCCTGGTTCCACCCAGTCTCCCCACAGCTGGTGAGGCCTCATAGTCCCCAACCCCCCCAAACCCTCCCCCCGTACCCCTCTGTGGGTGGCAGCGTGGCCCTACCCCTCTCTCAGTTATCCCAGGAGACTCCTGGCTTTGTCACCCGCTGTCACTGACTCTACCTCTAGGTGAGGGCCCTGGGCTTCCAGCCCTCTCGGCCATCCCCAGGCGCACGAATTTTGGGTGCAAGGGCCAGGCAGCCTTCGCCGTGGTGTCCACCACACCTCATGGGGCAGCAGGCAGACAGACGCAGAGAAGGGCAGGGCAACCCCATACCATTGTTTAACCTAACTGTAGGAGAGTCTTGTGTTGGTTTGTCCCTAAGAGATGGGGAGTGATTTCAAACATTTGTCGCCATATGTGCGGCTAACAGGCTAACAACAGGCCTTCCATGGGAAGCGCAGCCCTGCTGCGGAGTTAAAGTCGTGTCTGCGGGGCCAGGTTCCCTCTGGTCAGTCTCTAAAGGTCTTGAAGTGAAAGGGTTCAGGAAGTGCCTTCCAGGAGTAATCTTAGCTCGTGCCGGCTGCAGAAGCTGGCCGTGGGGACTCCCAGTGTGGTGGGCGCTATTCGGAGGGAGAGACAGGCGTGGTTGTCGGCCCTCTAGAAGCCAGCTAAGACACTTTCCGCAGCCGGGAGCATTTCCTGTGTGTGCGGGAACATCGGGATCTTGGAATTCAGCCTCTGGAGCTCCCACGCCCTGTGGCTTTCAACTCGGACTGGGAACACTTGACTCCGTGCCTCGTGACTGGATCGGCCTAGTTCTCTTCCACCTTTGAGGTGGGCGAGGCGCTGGCCGGGCAGAGCTCGGACGGACCCCCGGGGAGGCTCCCGAGGGAAGCGCTCAGGGCGGCCTCGCTCCACTCACACTAGCTTTCTTACTGGCAGTTCAGCAAAAGGCTTATTTTTGACTGTCTTGTTATTTTTTTTTTCTTGAAAGCTATAGGCACCTTATTATGCCTTTGCATATGTGCCAGAATTTTTTAAACTTCAAATGAATGTGGCAGATGTTCGTAAAAGTTTAGAAAAAGCTACCATAGGAAGACTTTTTAACCATTTTTATGACACTCAAGTTGCTGCACAAAAAAGAAATACAAATTCTAACCTAGCCTTCTCCTTTGGAGAAGGCTTTTCCGGCGGGGGGTGGGGGGTGGGTAGCTCCGGTCCTCGGGGGGTGAGAGGGCAGCCGCTCCAGCTCGGGGGCGACCTGGTCATCCCCAGGGTCTTGCCTCCTCCTCCCCCTCGCGCGTTCGCCCCTGATGGGAGCCCCCCGCCCCACCTTTCTTCTTGCCTCCCGCTCCTTCGCGCAGACTCTCCGAGGGGGGCGGCTGGCCAGTCGGGATCGCCAAGGATATTGGCACCCGTCTCGTTTCTTCTTGGAGAGAATCTTCGTCTTCGCTGGCAGCTCGGAAACCCCCAAAGGAGGCCAGATCGCACAGCGGCTATTTCCGTTCCATCTCCTTAACCCTGGCTCAGTTCAGGGGCTATTTCTGCGACTCCCCCTTCTGTGCCCCGCCTGGGAGCAGGTGCTTCTCTGGGTCTCAGCACGGCTGTGGTGGGGGGTGGGGGAGAGCGGCGATAGGGGGAGGGTCTGTGCAGGAGGAATCTGGTCCTTCGGGAAGACAGCAGCCATGTGGCATTTTGGGCAGAGCCCCAGGTCGGCCTGCACAGGAAGGCCCAGCCCCCCACCCCCACAGGGGCAGCGAGGTGAAGCTTGGGGGGGAGAGAGAGAGAGAGAGAGAGAGAGAGAGAGAGAGAGAGAGAGAGAACTAGAAGGAAGGCCTTTGCTTTGCATGCAGCCACCCCCAGTTTAAGTTCCTGGCATCACTAGGGGTCCCTCCTAGCACCACTAGGGCTCACTCCTGAG